TGAGATCATACTTTGTCCATCCAGCAGATCACACACAGAAAATCCATGTTCTCTTGGATCCATGTCACATGCTGAAGCTTCTTCGTAATGTCTTTTCAACTGTTAAAGTTATTGTTAGGGAAGATGGCCAGCTGATACGTCGGCAGTACATTGAGGAGTTGCACAAGCTTCAGGAGAGGGAAGGCTTGCATCTTGGCAACAAACTCAAAATAGCTCACATTCAGTGGCAAAATCAAAAAATTAAGGTTCATCTTGCGACCCAAATCTTTAGCAGCAGTGTGGCTGCTGCTCTTGAGTACTGTGAGCAACAACTGAGGCATCCACAGTTCAGTGGATGTGCAGCCACAGTTGATTTCCTGCGCACAGCTGATGCTGCTTTTGATGTCCTAAATAGCCGCAATCCACTTGGAAAAGGACACAAAGCACCCATCACACCAAAAACTAAAGAACGTGCCATGGTCACTTTAAAAGAAACAGAGTCTCTCCTCAGAAGGCTCAAAATCATAGGGAAAGACAACAGAGTATATTTATGTCAATGCAGTCAACGCAAGGCAAGCTAACGTTAGTGTTTTAGCTAAAATGCGTGATCCGAGGATTTGGATTGAGGGAGAATGCAACGAGTCGCTATATAAAGCAGCCGCAGCGCTGCTACCTGCACATAGACCGTGTCGCGAATACCCCCATGTTGAAATGACGCTATGCATTACGGGGCTCCCAGGGGCAGATAAGAGTTGGTCTCTCTCCGAGAATAATTAGGAATTTAATAATGAACCTCCATTAGCCTTGTGTCAGTGCTTCTATCAGACTCGGGTTAGAGCCTCCAACAGACTTCAGGTCAAAGCCTCCATCAAACTCGGGTCAGAGCTTCCATCAGACTTGTGACCACTTCCCATGTGACCTTTCACCTCCAGCAGCAGCTCTTCCCCCCACGTTGAAAGACATAAAGCTCAGGAACACACCTTACCCCTGAAAGCGAGAGGGGTGGAGCTTACAGAAAACTACCTTCCTTCAGGCTGCTTTCTTTCTCTGTTATCAAAGGTTCAGTGTCAGGTTACAACTCTGTGTTGAGGGCTGCATTCCAAATCCTCCAAAACAGACAAAAAGCCAAAGTTTGAAGGGAATAAAAAGTCTGACCTGCTGCCTGATGTTGGTTGTTTTAACAGATCAGATAAGCTTGTTTCTCTTTGACTTCATGAGTTTGGCCAGAACTCACATGAACAGGGTTTGTGGAGTGAAGCAGCAAAGGGGAAAAGCCGTTTAGTAAGTGGGCTGAACTCAGATGAGATTACAGAGAAAAAGATGAAGCTGCAGGATTTTCTCTGAGTTTTATCCGTGGGACAAAACAACCACAGCTGGGCTGAAAACCAGAGTCGAATTTTCTGTAAACTCTGACCTGAATCTGTGTGTGTGTGTGTGCGCGCGCGCGTGTGCATGCGTGTGTGTGTGTGTACCCGCTCTCTCTCTGGATGATACCAGGCACAGATGAGCCGTCTGCAGCGCTGCATGTATCCTCCAGTCAGAGACAGGAGCAGAGCCAGACCCGACAGGAACCCTGAAACCCAAACAGAACCATCAACATTTCTGCAGCTGAAGGCTAAAGGCTTTGCTCAAAGGCTCCTAGGCACAGTGGACATGGTGGGGTAACATTTTCTATATGAGATACTTTTTATTTTAAATTGCTGCAAAGACCGAAAGACACATTCTAGAAGATCCTTAATGATAAAACCAGGAGCTTTCGGCCTTAAATGGTCTGTGTCAGGTCCTCCATCCAAACACCCAGTTACAGTCAGGATGTGTGATACGAACCTCTGACCTAACACATTCTCACAGGGAAACCAAAACCCAAAAGATTCTGGGCTGCAGGAACATTTCTCCAGCTCAAAGTGAGGCTTTCTGACAGCAGCTCTCTGAAGCAAAGTTTAACAGTTTCTTGTTTCCTTAAATATATGAAATGGGATTTCTTCAGCCTGTAAGAGTTGTCCCCATCGTTTGGAGGTTTTACCTCCTGAACAGGTCGTGTTTGTCATGTTTCACACGTTCCTCAGACTTTCATCACAGTCATCAGCTAACAGTTTATTTACGGTCGTGTTCAGACTCGATCTGTAGCCGGAAGCCAAAACCGCAGAGTGAGTCTGACACAAAAACACATCCACATTCCTGAAAAGCTGCTGTTTGTGTTTAATCACTCTGCTCTCACTGCTGAAACACATCTATCACATAAACATAAAATGTTTATGCTTTATTGATAGAAGATTAAACAGCTGAATGTTTTGATAGAATAAATAGAAGAGTGTAGAACAGAATCAGTGGATCGGTACCAAGGAGAAAGCATGAGGTGTAGCTCGGTTCTGACAGTTCCATCAGACACTTCCTGCTGATCACTGTGATGTTTCCTCCCTGCAGGATGTTGAACGAGGCCACCAGGTCTCTAAAGATGTCCGAAGCGTATCCAGATCCATTCACTCGGATCGCCACTGAGACTGGAGCTGATGAGACAGACCATCACCATGGTTACAGCACAGACTAATGACACAGGGCTACGTCACCACACAGGTGATGTCTCACCTCGGGTGAACACGTCCCCCTTCACCTGGTGGTACACCTGATCCAGGATCCAGAACACCAGGAAGTCCAGTGCCACCAGCAGGCAGCCAATCATCAGGTGCTTGAAGACGGAGACCACACCCACCAGCACAGCTCGTCTCTCCTTGTGAGACAGTTGAAACGACACTCAAGCAGAAACAGATTCGTTCAGACGACTTTAAAACAATCAGACCAGAGATTTGAAACTTTAGTCTCAGGTACTGACGAGGTGTGATGTAGGTCCTGGCCTCCCTGCGTGTGAGTGGCAGGACTGAAGCTCCGCCCTCTAAGGTCATATGTTGGTCCAGATCTTTAAACTGAGAGTCGATGTAAAAGTTGTCGAAGCTGAGCTTTCGGAGGTACCGGCGTCTGTACTGGACTGCCCTACACACACACACACACACACACACACACACACACACACACACACACACACACACACACACACACACCCACACACACACACACACACACACACACACACACACACACACACACACAGGGTTTAAATCCCACCTGAAGTGTTGACCAGAAGGAAACGGCCAAGATAGTTCTGACCTCAGGAAGCTGAGGCCCAACAGGACCAGACCTCCGTACATCAGCGGGTTTCTTAGCTTCTCAAACATTTGCAAGTCTGATGAGATCTCAGCCATGATTTCCTGAGAAACCTGCTGCAAAGAGCTGCTGCTGTTGGCGTCCATGTTGTACCGCACAGACGAGGTGATGTTGAAGTCAAACTCCTGCATCATCTTCTTGAATGCAGCAACCGTGGCTGGAAGGATCAGAAGTGGAGACATGAACGAGCAGCAGAAAGAAGATGGTTGGTAAAAGCCTCACAGACTCACGATCTGCCAGCCGTTGTTTCAGGTGGGCGGCGACGTAGGATGGGATGATGCAGAAAAACTCCCCCACTGAAAGAATCAGACACTTTAAGTTACAGAGACCACCTGAAGACTAAGGTGATGGTGTCAGGGAACGCACCACGAGCGATGTTGCAGAGCGGCAGGAAGCCGTCCACGATGTCACACAGGAAGTTGAATTCTCCCAGGAGATTATTGCAGTCGCTTCGAGCCTCGGCAAAGACGGCCCGACACTTTCGGTACGGAGTGCCGAGTTTGTCATTACAGATGTCTCCAATGTCCACGAGGAAGTGGAGGACATTTCTCAGGGTTCGAGCTGCAGGGTCAAAGGTCAGATTAGTGAGTTTATTCATCTAAACAGTAATGACACACAATCAACACACAGCAAGATGTTGGAGGAGAAAAAAAAACAAGGAAGAGTGAGAGAGGTCTTCATGATTCAGCAACACTCAAGAGTAAAGCTGGAAAATTTAACTAAATAAAATCTCCACTTGGAACAAAAATTAAAATGTTTATTATTTGGAAAAAGCCTGAAAGTTCTGAGTCAGCTGGAACCGGGATAATGAATTATTTTATGGACATTTTAGGATAAACATTTGAATGATTTTCCTCAGTTTTAAAAACACCAAACTCTTTCCGAGGGCCTGAAGACCTCCAGAACCCGTCTGCGGGGAATGACTTCTGGACTGGGTCAGGTGTTTGTTCGCTGTCTGACTAATAAAGTTTATTTTATCTATAGACTATGAGATAAAAACATTAGGTAAAGCAGGAGAAAGGTTCTGCTGGAAGAGGACCCACCAACATGGCGGACGCTCTCTGTCAGAGCGCTGATGAAGTTCTGGACTCTTCCTTTGATGGCGTAAGCGTTGCTGCTGATCTTTCTGACTTTATCGATTACAGCTGAAAAACAAAAATGATAAATGAAGCAAAACAAATTCACATTTTCATTTTTGTAAAATCATAAAATAAACTGAAATCATAAAGTAAAGTTTAGCAGAAACTCTTCCCATGCCCTCGGAGGTGTTAACAGAAGATGCTATGGGAGCTTTCTGAGACTTGGATTTGTTTATAAGCAGCGGGTGGGTGTGTCTTACACAAGAAGGGCGTGGCTGCTCGCTGCATCAGTTCTTGTGTTTGATTGGCTGCCAGCTCAGCGCCACACACCAGGCTGGAAGCAGCTCGCTCCATGTTCTCCATCGTGTTCTTTACTGGACCTGAGATCAGAACCGACACAAACAGGAGGAGGAGGAGGTTCCGCCCGCGGGCTGAAACATGGGAGGGGATGAGTTGTTATCGGCTGACTTACATGAAGCTGTAACTATTTATTATTACAGAGATACACATGCATGAATTCAAACTAAAGCCCCAAACACAGCTCAGTATCACACCTGAAGAATTTTCCTAAAAGTCAAAGACTCACCTGAGCACATGGATGGGAGCATCACCATGACATCAGTCCGAACGCCCGCTGACAGGCCCATACCAAATGCTACCAACCCGGCCAAAGCCACCGTGCTGTAGACACAGAACCACAGCGGCTGGTTCTGAAGGAAAAGAGTCATGGCTCCATAGAGAGACACAAGCAAGAGTCCTACAAAAAACGCCATCAAGCTCCGCCCTGCCTGCACCAGGTGAGCACGACGCTCCCTCCCTCTTCTGAGATGAGGGCGTCCACCTGACCTGAAAGGTAAAGCAGCTATTTTATATCTGAGTTAATCAGAGTTAAAACGTCCCACTGAAAATGTTCTGGTACCAGAACCAGAACTCTGTAAAAAATTAAAGTGAAAAGACTGCAGCTCCATAACCATTTAAGACATCACACAAAAATCTGTCTGCTAAGAAGGAAAATAGAACCAGATCAAAATCTAAACATCAATTAAATGAAAATGATTAATGTTTAATTTAGTGACTTTACCATCCAGAGACCTAAGCTTTTATTTTCTAAATATTTATTATTTCCTCTAGCTATTTGGGATCATAATACTTAATAAATATCAGTAGTTTACAAATATCCATCCATCCATCCATCCATCCATCCATTTTCATCCGCTTATCCGGAGTCGGGTTGCGGGGGCAGTAGCCTAAGTCAAGAGGCCCAGACTTCCCTCTCCCCAGCCACTTGGGCCAGCTCCTCCGGGGGAATCCCAAGGCGTTCCCTGGCCAGGTGAGAGACATATGGGCCATTCCCATCTGTACCGGGTCGGCCCGGGCCGGGTAGCGTAGGTTGTTTACATATCTGGGTGGCCTGGTATTTTTCCGGGCCAACCAAGGCTCATTCTCAGCCCTCTTCTCGAGGGGGTCTGCTTCAGGCTGACCAGGGCCAACACACCCACTGCTGACAGCAAATTCACACCTTCCATTAGAGCAAGCCTCTGATTGGTGGGTAGAATCAGCCCACATGGGCTTAAGGCAAGGATGTGTGGAATCAACCGGGCCAGGCTGGGGCCGACTGGGGCTACCCGGCCCGGGCCGACCCGGTACAGATAGGAATGGCCCAATAGTCCCTCCAACGTGTCCTGGGTCTACCTTTAGGCCTCCTCCCGGTTGCAAGTGCCCGGAAAACCTCACCAGGGAGGCATCCAGGAGGCATCCTGACCGAGCCAACTCAACTGGCTCCTCTCGATGTGGAGGAGCAGCGGGTCTACTCCGAGCCCCTCCCAAATGACCGAGCTTCTCACCTTATCTCTAAGGGAGAGCCCAGCCACTCTTCGGAGAAAACTCATTTTGGCCGCTTGTATTTGCGATCTCGTTCTTTCGGTCACTACCCAAAGCTCATGACCATAGGTGAGGGTAGGAACGTAGATCGGCCGGTAAATCGAGAGCTTCGCCTTCTGACTCAGCTCTCTCTTCACCACAACAGACCGGTGCACCAATGGTGCAGATGCGGTACCAATCCGCATATCGATCACACTCTCCAGTTTTCCCTCACTCGTGAACAAGACCCTGAGATACTTAAACTCCTCCACTTGGGGCAGGACCTCATCCCTGACCCGGAGAAGGCATTCTACCCTTTTCCGAATCAAGACCATGGTCTCAGATTTAGAGGAGCTGATTCTCATCCCAGCTGCTTCACACTCAGCTGCGAACCGCTCCAGCGAAAGCTGAAGATCACAATCTGATGAAGCCAACAGGACCACATCATCTGCAAAAAGCAGAGACCTGATCCTCAGGCCACCAAAATGGATGCCCTCCACACCTTGGCTGCACCTAGAAATCCTGTCCATAAAAGTTATGAACAGAATCTGTGACAAAGAGCAGCCATGGCAGAGTCCAACTCTCACTGGGAACGAGCCCGACTTACGCCGGGGACACACCGGCCGCGGAAGCGCCGCGAAGCGCCGAGAAGCGAATCGCTCACGAAATTCGGCCGCTGCTCGCCGCTCCTCAGTTCAGATCAGACGCGCCCCAGTCGAGGCGCGCCTCGGCTCAGCTGTAGTTTTTCTTTTAAACACTTGGTGTCCTCCATTTCCTCTCTGCCTTTTCTCAGCTCTTTTCCTACGTTTGAGTGTTTGTGCGCGTGCGCGCGCGCGCGCGTGTGTGTGAACCTATGGTATGAGTTGTTTCTGCCAGTTGAATCTCTTGGAACCCGCTCCAATTCTGCAGCTGTATCCTAGCAGTTTCTTCCGACATGGGTACGTAAACAATCATGTTTTTCGGGGGTCGTACAGCTCCTTGTGTTTCTCAACTTCCATAATTAATTTAAAGTCATCCATCCTAACTGCTTGCCTCAGACTTTCTGCCTCTCTGTCCTGTTTGCTCCGGTGAAAAGACACCCAAAACCACTCCCCCCTTCACGTGGTCACACACGCACACAAGTTCGATGTGTGTGTGTGTGTGTGTGTGTGTGTGCGTGTTCGTGTGGTTTTTCTGCAGTGTCTGTTTACGAACACATTTGACTATTGCGGAATTTTATTTTGAAATGCTTTATTTTGTTAACTTTACCGGCCTGCCTCTTATGTCTACGTTTGACTTCCTGCCAGAATTGACGCGATTCACCCGCGGCTCGCGAAAAAAATAGAGCCAACGCCGAAATGATCGCTGCACGGCGCGGGCTGGAGCGCCGGCGCGCGCCGGCGCGAGGCGATTCGCGGCGCTTCGGCGGCCCATGTGGTCTATAGAATAGCTTAACAAGGGCGCCGAATGAAGGCGGTCCCATTTTCGCGGCGCTTCGCGGCGCTTCCGCGGCCAGTGTGTCCCCGGCCTTACTGCCGGCAATGCGGACCAAGCTCTGACACCGGTCATACAGGGACGTAACAGCCCGTATCAGAGGGCCTGGTACCCCATACTCCTGGAGTACCCCCCACAGGGCCCCCCGAGGGACGTGGTCAAATGCCTTCTCCAGATCCACAAAACACATGCAGACTGGTTGGGCAAATTCCCACGCACCCTCCAGGATCCCCCTAAGGGTATAGAGCTGGTCCAGTGTTCCACGGCTGGGACGAAAACCACATTGCTCCTCCTGAATCTGAGGTTCAACAATCCGATGGACCCTCCTCTCCAGAACTTCTGAATAGACCTTACCAGGAAGGCTCAGGAGTGTGATTCCCCTGTAGTTGGAACACACCCTGCGGTCCCCCTTTTTAAATAAGGGAACCATCACCCCGTTCTGCCAGTCCAGTAGGACTGCCCCCGATGTCCACGCAATATTGCAGAGCCGTGTCAGCCAACACAGCCCCACAACATCCAGAGCCTTAAGGAACTCCGGGCGGATCTCATCCACCCCTGGAGCCTTGTCAGAGAGGAGCTTTTTAACCACCTCAGTGACCTCAGCACCAGAGATTTGAGAGGCCAACCCAAAGTCCCCAGACTCTGCTTCCTCACTGGAAGACGTGTCGGTGGTATTGAGGAGGTCTTCGAAGTATTCCGCCCACCGATCCACAACGTCCTGAGTAGAGGTCAGCAGCACACGTCCCCACTATAGATAGTATTGGTAGCGCACTGATTTCCCCCACCGGGGCGCCGGATGGTGGACCAGAATCTCCTCGAAGCCATACGGAAGTCTTGCTCCATGGTCTCACCGAACTCCTCCCATGCCCGGGTTTTTGCCTTGGCGACCACCCGAGCTGCGTTCCACTTGGACTGCCGGTACCCGTCAGCTGCCTCTGGAGTCCCACAGGCCAAAAAGACCTGATAGGATTCTTTCTTCAGCTTGACAGCATCCCTAACCGACAGTGTCCTCCAGCGAGTTCGGAGGTTGCCAGCACAACAGGCACGGACGATCCTGCGACCACAGCTGCAGTCAGCCGCCTCAACAATGGAGACATGGAACAGGGTCCATTCAGACTCAATGTCCCCCGCCTCCCCCGGAACATTATGGAAGTTCTGTCGGAGGTGGGAATTGAAGCTCCTTCTGACAGGAGACTCTGGCAGACATTCCCAGCAGACCTTCGCGATACGTTTGGGCCTGCCTGGTCTGACCGGCATCCTCCCCCACCATCTGAGCCAACTCACCACCAGGTAGTGGTCAGTTGACAGCTCCGCCCCTCTCTTCACCTGAGTGTCCAAGACATGCGGCCGCAGGTCAGACGAAACAACAACAGTCGATCATTGAGCTGCGGCCTAAGCTATCCTGGTGCCAAGAGCACATATGAACACCTTTATGTCTGAACATGGTGTTCATTATGGACAATCTATGACTGGCACAGAAGTCCAATAACAAAACACCACTCGAATTCAGATCAGGGGGGCCGTTCCTCCCAACCACACCTCTCCAGGTCTCACTGTCGTTGCCCATGTGAGCGTTAAATTCCTCCAGCAAAATGAGGGAGTCACTGGAAGGAGCCCTCTCCAGCACCCCCTCCAAGGTCTCCAAAAAGGGTGGGTAGTCTGAACTGTAGTTTGGTGCATAAGCACAGACCACAGTCAGAACCCGCCCCCCCCACACGTAGGCGGAGGGAGGCTACCCTCTCATTAACTGGGGTAAACCCCAACGTACAGGCACCAAGATGGGGGGTGCTACTAGTATGCCCACCCCTGCTCGGCGCCTCTCAGTGGGAGCAACTCCAGAGTGGTAGAAAGCCCAACCCCTCTCAAGGAAACTGTTTCCAGAGCCAGAACCATGCGTTGAGGTGAGTCGGACTATATCTAGTCGGAACCTCTTAAGCTCACACACCAACTCAGGCTCCTTCCCCACCAGAGAGGTGACATTCCATGTGCCAAGAGCCAGCTTCTGTAGCCGAGGATCAGACCGCCAAGGTCCCCACCCTCGACTACCACCCGTCACACACTGCACCCGATCCCTTTGGCCCCTTCCACGAGTGGTGAGCCCATGGGAAGGGAGACCCATGTTTCCTCTTCGGGCTGTGCCTGGCCGGGCTCCATGGGTGAAAGCCCGACCGCCAGGCGCTCGCCAATGTGCTCCACCTCCAGGCCTGGCTCCAGAGGGGGGCCCCGGTGACCCACGTCAGGGTGAGGGAACACGGTTTCCATTTATATAATTCATCATAAGAGGTCTTCGTGCTGCTCTTTGTCTGATCCCTCACCTAGGACCTGTTTGCCATGGGTGACCCTACCAGAGGCAGAAAGCCTCAGATAACTTAGCTCCTAGGATCATTGAGACACTCAAACCCCTCCCCCACGGTAAGGTGGCAGCCCAGAGAGAATACAAATATTTAAAAATTATTATATAAACAAAAACCAATAACTGAATATACTTAACTAACAACAACGTAATAAATAAATAACAAAAACAAAGCCAGTTTCAGCTGTTATATTGGTCTAAATTAAACAGGTCTAAAGGGACACTTTGCAACTTTTCATTTTTTTAATCATTTTCTTGATCCAGTATGTGCTAGAATAACTCTTTACGGGGTTAATGAAATGTTACTTAGACCCCACTGCCCTCTGTGGCCAGAACAGAACACTGCAACTTCAGAGCTGCTGCCTGCTGGTGGAGGGAGCTGTGGAACGGAGCTGACATGGTGGAGTTAGAGTCTGTTTCCAGCACGTTTCCTGCATGTTATTGCTCACTAACACAGCTGATTTGTATGACTTAGTGATGAATCACTCCTCTAGAAACTAATGAAGGCTGAGGAGACACTTCAGCAGTTAGATTAACTGACTAAAAATCACTGCAAGGAGACAAGTTTCACTTTTGCTTTGACCACATAGAAACAATAACGGACACGAGGGGGCGCTAAAAGTAAGCAAAACTGTCAAGTGTGCCTTTAAATTTTGAAATGCAAAAAGCCATAAATGACCCCATTGGTCAAAAACCACAAACGATGACTCACCGCCAATCAGAAGGAAAAATTAATTACATCACACTGAGCACAGCCATGATCTAAAAGAAAAGTTTGCAAGCATGCTGGGCAGCTGGGAAACATATTTAGCAAAAGTAATTTGTTACAAAAATAAACAGTAATAATACAATTCTTTGCCAAATATCTAGCTTCATTAGCAAGTTTTAATGCCATTAAATGAAAAGTAGGAAAAAAGCAAAAAAAAAATATACATATATTTATTTATAATGATAAGTTGAACTGTAGGACATCTCAAAGCTAATTCTGTGTCTTATATATTACCAGAACTCTGAGTTTAGCTGTTAGTTTTAGTTAGGAACCCTCCTTTAAACTAGCTTATAGCTCACCTTAGCAGGACTCCCGTCACTTTTTGTGTGGCTCCACCTCGCACCACCTGGATTGTGACGTCACTCTTCAGCAGTTTTCTTCTCTCCTCCTCACCTCCCATCTTTTAGCCTACTTCTTGCACTTCCACCTGAAAACTCCGTAACCACGAAGACCAGGAAGACTTCGTCGTTATTAAACGTTTATCACCGTTAATTTAGTAATGGAGGCCGCCAGCCTGCACCTGCAGCTCGTTTACAGCTGTGAGTTCAACTCTACGTCATCCTTTACTCCTGACATTATCTCCCTCTACCAGATGTTTCTGCTTACCCCAGATGTGCGCAGGTTCTCTGGACTCGTCTGTAGATGTCCTGCCAAGTTTCCGTCGGCTCACCTGGTCGTTAGGGGCCTGTTCAGTGCGGTGAGCGGCGCAGGTGACGAACATACACTGGATAGTTTAACCGGACCAACGGAACCCGTTTCCTTCCGTTTCACGGGGATTTAGATGGAGCCGTTCAATGATTTGACCATTTCTGAAAAACAAGCTTTGAACTTGACATTATTTCTGTTACCATGGTGGAAGTATGCTCCTATATGTTATCAATTAGATGATCTTTTTAATAGCTCCTGGTTTTATCTGCATCTTTAAACACTTTTAGAAGCTTAAATTTTTACAACGTTTTTGATGATATTTCCAAAATAGCAACAACTCTCTAGGATCAGTTAAGTAATTTTTTATTTGAAATACTTAACCTTTACATTATTCCACTTATCCAATATACATTGTTTCAATACTATTATTCCATAATTTTACAGTGTTACCCTTTGTCATTAGGGTTGGCTTATGTTTATTTTGCTGCAGTTCATTTTTGATATCTTTGCAGTCTGGGCTAGGGGTTAGGGTAAATGATGTTTAATCTAAATGATAGGGATGTGCATTGGTGAAATTATGATATGATACGTATCACGATACAGGGGAGATGATACAATGTATATATATATATATATATATATATATATATATATATATATATATATATATATATATATATATATATATATATATATATTAGTGATTTTTAGACTGAATTTATTGCAGGAAAATTCAATAAACTGTCCAAATGCATACGTAACATGAGGTATCTGAACCATAATAGAGGGATTTACATTTCAATGGTGTAAACAAAACCTATTGCACACTGCTGCCAACTAGCGGTTGCCATTTGAATGGCACCAAAAGAAAAGAAAACAGAAATGTTTGCACGTAAATTCTTTTAAAAAGTAGATACATGGATTTTGAATATCAAAATAAAATTGCAGGAAAAGAATCACAGTATATTGCGATATCAATATTTTCAATACGCAGCTTTTTAAAATCGATATAATAGCGCTGGAAAAAATAACACAATATATTGCATTATCAGTATTTTCTTACATCCCTACTAAATAAATAAACAAACATGTGATGATGCAGAATATTAGGACAAGCGAATAAAGATTCTTTTTAAAGCAGGCAGAAAAGGGAAAAGGTAGAAATGAATTATAACTTTCTCTCTCTCTCTCTCTCTCTCTCTCTCTCTCTCTCTCACACACACACACACACACACACACACACACACACACACACACACACACACACACACACACACACACACACACACACAAAATAATAAAAAATAGCAAATTATGAATAACAATTTCAATAAAAAATTATGACATGAAAATAAAACCATAACGACAGATCAAATTAAATAATAACAATATTTAAATGTGATTTTTATCCACCAGTTGTGTTCCTGGGAATTGCCCATAGCCTCCCGTTGACCTTTGACCTGAAGCTGACAGTAGGAGCTTTGTTTGTTGGTGAGAGCTCGTCATACTCACATCATTCCTCAGAATTACAACAAGCAGATGTAAACAGAGGTGTGTGTGCATGTTTGTTTCAGGTGTGTGTGTCGCTGGTGGAGTTCTGTCTTCATCCTTTAGGTGTTCCATCCTCCTCATGTTTCCCAGCATCCTCGGCTCTCGCGGCCGCACCTACCTGATGATTCTGATTGTATCAGTTCTTTACTCAGGTAAACAAGGATCAGGGAGGAGTCAGAGGGACTAAATACGCAGAGACTTTTACTGAGATGTTTTTTATGATTAATCGTTCTCATTAACAAATCTGTTTATTTCACTCAGTTAATTAAGTTAAAGTCCCACAGTCATCATCACACACTGGTGAAATTACATCTCCGCATTTGACCCATCCCTGTGGGGAGAAAGCTGCAGTTGTGTCCGCTCTCGGGAACTATTTGGTGGTTTAAACCCCAATCCATCTCCTTAAAGCTGAGTGTCAAGCAGGGAGGCTTTGAGTCCCATTTTGAAAGTCTTTGGTATGAACCCAAACCAGTCTAAGGGCGGACACTCCACCACTAGGCCACTGAGAAGGTCAATGATGTTATCGGAACAAAGTAAAGAATGAGTGAATAAAGAGGGATGAAGAATGTTTGATATTTAAGAGGATGTTTAGTTACCAGATACTGAAGTTGAGATGTTTCACTGACGTTTTATGAACCACTAGATGTCGCTGCAGGTCAACTATAAAGAGATGAAGGGATTAAACCGTAGGTGGGAGTTTAAATAATTTAGATAATTCAAAATGGTTCATTAATCCGAAACAGAAATTATATAACAACAAATCAGTAATAATTATTGTACAATAATTAGTAAAACTAAAGAATTTAGTTTTAAGCTTGATGACAACATGAAAGCTTATTGTTGTGCTTTTATTTACTTCTCATTTTTGTGCTTGTTGTGTTTATATTTGATTGTTAAACTGAAACGCCTCCATCAGCCACGGTTGTGGTTAATTTGACTCCATTGCAGAGTTTGATGTTTCATGCCTGCATCATGTTTGTGTGTAAAGTTTTTCTGAGTTCATATTTTGTGTCACATATTATGTACTTTGTGTCCTGTCTGTCCCATCAGGTCCGATCGCTAACATCCAGCAGAACGCCGAGGCGGCCGCGCTGTCTCTGAGCTGTAATCTGGACCTGCAGGTTCATCACAGCAGGATGCTGTGGAGGAGTGTCATCCAATCATTCATTGCCATCACACAGGAGCTCATGGTGGGGTGTGTGTGAGTGTGTGTGTTAGGGGGAGGGAGGTCGAGGGACTGGGACAGAGTCTGCAGGTCTGTGAACTCGGGGAGCAAACAATAAACTACTCAATAAACAATTTTGATAGATTAGTTTAAAAATGTCTATGTCAAATATAAATTACACATAATCTGACCTGTTTAATAATTATTATACAGTATCTTCCAAACAAGTGTATGTTTGAGTGTTTGTCTTTGTCTCCAAGTTTTCACTTTTTTTTAGAAGACTAAACAAAACTTTGTGGAGTTATTTTTCTGTGGATCCTGATTTTCTGTTCCACTCTTCGACAGAACATATTTAAACGTCTACAATGGCTGCTATGATTACAAATGACTTAATTAATTAGAAAATTATGTTTAATTCGTCTGATTTCCCAATGCTGGACTCTGTCTCTGTCCGGTGTCTCAGGACAGTAAAGATGAGTTCCAGTTGGAGGCTCTCAACGTCAGCAGGAAGTTTCAGAACATCAGGGATGAAGTCATGGAACAGTACGGATACGACCAGTTCCATCCTCGTAGCCATGGCAACAGCACACAGGAGCAGTTTGCCACCAAAACCAAGATGCAGTGTGACAGTGAGTTAAAGGTTTAGGGGAGAAATTGATGGAGCTCTTTGTTTGTAAACACAGAGACCCATTTCACTTTTACACCAGTGTTCTCCCAGTTCCACACCACCAGGATCGACAGCACTGATAAGGGAATGTCATTTGAGCTTGAGAAGTGTGGTCTTACTTCCAGAAGGAACAATAGCAGACACTGAGGACACCTACAAATATCTTGGGTGTACAGGCCACAGATGTTAAGACATAAAAGCTCCTAACCATGCATGGAGGGTTCCATTCCAAGTTCAGTACCCTGAGACTGTACACTAGCCATAAGGACGGAGGCCGAGGACTAGTGAGTGTGAGAGCCACTGTCCATGATCAAGGATAAGGCCCTAACTGATTATCAGTGAATGTTTCAGACAATAGTGAACAGATGAGGAGGCATTGAAAATACCATTGTGAAAGGACAAGCCCCTACATGGGATGTACCACTGACAGATCACTGAAGTGGCCAATGGCTAGAAAGAGCTGGTCTGAAGGACAGCACAGAGGCGCTCATCATGGCTGCACAGAAACAGGCCCTGAACACCAGAGCAACAGAGGCCAAGATCTACCACACCAGACAAGACCCAAGGTGTAGGCTATGCAAAGAGGCCCCTGAGACAATCCACCACATAACTGCGAATTTAAAAATATTCCCTATTATCACATCACCCCCTCCCCCCTCTTGCCACATTTTTCTTTCTAAACAAACCTTTATTAATGTGTAATCAAATCAAATCAACTTTATTTATAAAGCGCTTTCACGTGCCCAAAGTGGACAAACAAAGCGCTGTACACCAATAAAAAACACAGCAATAAAACAAACATATATAACCATTAAAAAAAACAATAAGAATTCCCGAGTAAAGTTTAGCAATCCAGATCAGTCCTGTTACCAGAATCAAATCCAGAAACATTTAAAGTGACGCTGCCCACCCAAACCCAACTTCAATGTCCAAACACCAGTGAGAACAGATGGGTTTTTAGTTGGCTTTTAAAGCTCTTAAGTGATTGGGCCTACTTTCAGCTGGCAGCTCATTCCAGAGTCTTGGTCCCAACACTGAGAAGGCATGGCTCCCACGAGACTTCAAGCTGTACCTGGGCACAGTTAATAGTCTCTGGTCAGCTGACCTAAGGCAACGCACCGGGACATGCCGGTGGATGATGTCTGACAGGTATTTAGGTGCCCCCGAGTTTAATGCCTTAAACACAAACAGGATTACCTTAAACCTGATGCGATAGGAGGCAGGGAGCCAATGCAAGGCACCCAGGACCTAGCACCTCTTAGAAACCGAGCTGCAGAGTTCTGAACTGCCTGGAGGCATGATATTGGAGCTTGCCTAAGCCCCGCATATAGCGAATTGCAGTAATCCAGCCTGCAGGTAACAAAGGCATGGTTCACAGTTTCCAAATGGTTATGTGACAAAAATTGACTTAATCTTCACTATCCGCCGGAGATGAAAATAGCAAGATTTCACGATTCCGTTTACTTGAGAATCAAATCTGAGCTCTGCGTGCAGCTTCACCCCTAGGTTAGTGACCACCGCCTTCTGATGCGGTGCCAGTATGGAAAGATAAAGCCCTTGGGCACCTTCTAGGGTCATAGGTGGAGTAAACAGGATCACTTTGGTCTTATTTTAGTTGAAACACAAGTAGTTCTGAGCCAACCATAGCTTGATATCCTCCAGGCAGTCCAGCAAAGGTTGAATGGTGCATAAACCACCACGCCTAATGGGAAAAATAACCTGGCAATCATCATCATCATATAGATGGAATGACACGTCATGCTTGCGAAATAGGTCACCCAGGGGTAGGAGATATAGGGAGAAAAACAGAGGGGCTAAAATCGATCCCTGGGGCACTCCCCAAGGCAGCTCAGCCACGTCGGAGGAACAGTCTCCCAACTTCACACAGAAACTCCTCCCTGTCAAGTATGATCTTATCCACTTGAGTGCCTGGCCTGTAATACCCAAACACTACTCCAGTCGGTTTATTAGAATGCCATGATCAGTGGTATCAAATGCTGATGTCAAGTCCAAGAGCACCAGAACCACAGCATCGCCAGAATCATTGGCCAGTGAAATGTCATCAAGGACCTTCAGCAATGCAGATTCGGTGTTATGAAAAGGTTTGAACCCAGATTGAAATACTTCTCCAATTCCCCATTCCTGTAGAAAATACATCGGTTGGATAAACACAGCCCTCTCTGTGATTTTAGAAATGGAAGGTAGTGTAGATACAGGTCTAAAATTAGACAAGACTGTTGGGTCCAACCCTGGTTTCTTTAGCAGTCATACCACCGCCTGCTTTAGGGAAATGGGGACTTCCCCAGATAGCAAGCTGCTATCAACAACACACAAAGTCAGATCTGGGGTCTGTGTGGTGTCCAGGCGTGGTGAATGAAGGTGTGCAGCGATGCGCTGACTGGTTCAGCCTCAGGTGGGCGGAGTGCATGGCAGCGATACCTGTCCCTGTCATCAACCACATCCTCTGTGTGTCCATGAAGTTCCACTTCCTGTGTGATGCCATGAGAGGTGAGTCATTGACCTCTCACCTTTAGGATAAAAATTCTCAGAGTTCAGAAACATTTGGTCTGAGGGCTTCTCCTTCATCTCCGGTCAGTCATGACTCCGTGGTGCAGAGATCAGATTCCTGTGGAGGGAAACTTTGGTCAGCTGTTCGATCAGCTCAACGTTTCAGTGGACCGCCTCTCCCAGGAGTTCCTCACTGAGCTCGTCCTGCAAGTTAGAACTACACCACCGTCATCATCACTTCTCCTCCATCACACCAGACAAACTCTTATCTCCTCCTGCAGGAGCAGCAGCAGTCAGTTCTGGATGGGTCTCTGCTGGATCAGAACTTCACTCAGTCAGTCACAGACTCCTTCCTCACCCTGACCCGGACGATGGGACAAGTTCTGAACACCCTGCAGCTGCTGCTGTCCTTCACCTTCATCACTGTTTTCATCCAGTCAGTTCTCACCTTCATCACTGTCTTAATTCACCTACATTCACATTTTTCACATCATTGACTGTTTTTTTTCTTCTCTTTTTCTTTCTTTTTGTTTCCCCTTCCTTATCCTTCTCTTCCTCAGGGGCTTCAGTTACCTTCTGTCTTACCGGACGGACATATATTTTGACAATGTCTACATCACCTCCTACTTCAAAAAGATTGATGCCCGTAGGAAGAGAGCGGTATCAACTCCTCCCTCCTCCTGCTGTGATGTCATCAGGATGATGGAAGGATGATTGATTGTCTGACTATTGCGTCGTCTCTTCTTCTGGTTTTAGGGGAAACACTTCCTGTTGCCTCTGAAAAAATCAGAGAGGAAAGAGTTCATATTCCCCTGGAGTCCAAAGATTTACCCAGAAGAGCTCAAACAGGTGGTGAGTCTGAATTCTGTTATTAACCTGTCAGGTGAATGAGGCTCCTCCCTCAGACATCATTAGTCCTGAATCATGATGAAGACTCATTTATTTCTGTTCACGCTATCGTGATGCTGCAAAGAGAAATCTGCATAAAACAATGTAAAATATACCAGAGTCAATTCAATTTATAATATCATATCATATCATATCATATCATATCATATCATATAATTCATATTTTCCCTGTTTCTTCTTTCATTTTAATCCTAAACTTCCTGAATTTAGGAAGTGTTTTTTTCACCAAATCTGAACTTCTTCCATTCCACAACATGAGTAAGATATATTAGTGTCAATACAGTGTGTGTGTGTGTGTGTGTGTGTGTGTGTGTGTGTGTGTGTGTGTGTGTGTGTGTGTGTGTGTGTGTGTGTGTGTGTGTGTGTGTGTGTGTGTGTGTGTGTTCAGATGGCCGGCGTGATTCAGCTCCTGTCCATCTCCCTGCTGTGTGTCGTTCTGCTGACAGTCGACTTTGCTCTGTTTCGTGTTTTGGACGTCATTAGCAGACACACATTTACACAGTTCAATGTGACCAGTGAGAACACACACACACATGCACACACAAGTACCTCACACACTAAATAAAACAAATCTAATTACTCTCTGTTGTGTGACTCCACCCACTGCAGGTGGTCACCAGGTGAACATCAATGTGGGCGGAGACTCCATGGTGGCCCGCCTCCTGAGGACGACGATTTCAGGTTTCAACAGCTCTTCTGATGTGAACATCCACAGTGATAACAGAGGTGGGTCTGATTTTGCAGAGGTCAAAGGTCGCGTGACTATTCAAGTCGAACTATGAGGTTGACGCTTGAATTGTCCCCGGAGAACCGGTGAAATCTTTTTCATTTAAAGTTTCTTGTTTGGGACAAGAAGTAAGTTTTTCTCCTCAGAGCTCAACGAGTTTAGAGAATGAAACATTTTGGTCTGAAGACTTTTTCCAAAACGTTGCAGGATTTCATGCTTCATTTTAATCAGAAGCTCAAAGAGACACCTCCCCCATCCCTAAAGTTACTGACTGGTCCTGCAGGAAAACGTTCATGATGTTTCCTTCCACAAATGTGCCTTGAGCTTTATTCTAAAAGTCACCCAGCAGGAGGCGGCAGATTTTTAAAGTGCAGACCCCCCCCCCCCCCCCCATCTCTGTCTCCTTTCAGAGTGTGTGTCTCCGCCCTCTGCCCTCCCCATCAGTGTGTATGTGAGCTGTGTGTCTTGTGTCCTGTTGTTGGCGCTATTCAGCTGCTTTCAGGTTTACACCAACCGCCTCCGACGGGTCATCGCAGCCTTCTACCACCCCAAGGTACACACACACACACACACACACACACACACACAGTGTAGATGCTTCAGCCTCCATCACGTCATCAGCTTTTGGGGGAGCCGCAGCAGCTCGACCCGGTTCTGTGACTCTTAACTAAACAAATGATCTGACGTCACTTCCTCTCCTGAACTGATGAAGAAGCAAACCACACAATCTCATTAACGCACACTGTGTGTTAGAACTGCGTGAGCTGCAGTAAATCTGATCTGAGAACAGCTTAATGTAAGACCTTTATAGCAGCAGAGCTGATGAAAGCACCGCAGCTCAATAGACTCTCGGTCAGCTGATTCCTGCTGAGTATGGAAACTGGTCCAAAGCAGCTTTACAGGGACATATTATGATTTTAAAAAGGTTTTTGTTTCAGTGGGCTGATGGTTAAAATCAAACATGTTCATGAAGGTTTTTGGCATAAAATCACACTTACAAAAAGCAATCTATTTTCAGTATTTTTCAGAATGAGCCGTTTCAGTCCTCTGCCACTTTAAAGAGCAAGTCACCTCTCATTCTTTTGCTGATAAACTGTAGAAATCCATGCATAATCGTGCTCTAGACATGAGTGGTCATTATTTCGGCATTTTAGGGCATCTTATTTAAAATGCAAAAATTCTGCCTAAAACGTCGCTATTGTGCCCTCCTCAGGTTAAAACTCTGCACCACATAGAATTTGAATCAGTCATTGTTATTGGCTCAGAGATACCCTATGATGTTACCTGTGCTGTACGCATCACTTGGCTGAATTGCATCCGAGTCTTGGTCACTCCTCTAGCTGGCTCAGCCTCTCACAAGCCAATAAGAAACGCTACGATTATTTTAGTGAACGAGGTGGAGAGAAAGCCCACCCGCCTGCTGCAGTTTCTCTGCTTTAATTTCAGGCTTTAATTACACCAAACGGATGAGTTATTTAAAAATTCACCCACACCTGAGTTTTTATGATGGTAAACTAGACCTATTAACAGAGTTGGTGCATTGTGGCAGCAACAAGTCACCCCCATGCCATGTTTTCCTTCTGGTGATTTCAATCAGCACAGTGAATGAACCTGGATCAGCTGCTGAGCAGAACAGAAACAGCTGACTTGTTGATGCCACAATTCCCATCTCTGCCGCCTGTTAAACCTAAAGTGTTTTTTTAACCAGGCTGTAAACGTGTTTATTTCTGCTGCGCAGATTGTATTTTTAACTTCTATAGCCCTTTTTAGAAGACACAGCATGCCGGCAAGTCAGAGTAGTACTGCCACCACGGTGTGTGTTATGAAAGTACCGTGGCAACATGGCATTGCGGGAATTTTGCAGCATTCATGCCGCCACGCTTGGCAGTAACTATGCCACAACGCCAGACTTGTGAATACATATTACGCCTTGGCGCAACAGAGAGAGGAGTCATGATCATGTGGGGATCACGTCGGCAACTATATTAAAAATTTGTCAAGTCTGACAGAAAGTTTCAATTTTGTTAACAGAATCAGCTGAGATGATAAATTTGAGTGATGCAGTGCTCCAGGAGCTTCTCTCCGTTGCCCCTACTGCACACGGGAAGCATCAGCGGCACGGAATGGCAGTGGAAAGGTTTACTCGCGACAATCACTGCACTCCAGTGCACACTGGGAGAGTCTCAGCCACAAAGCAACTTCTCCGCTGTGCTCCTCGCTTGACCCGCAAGATCACGAAATCCCCCGAAGCCATCCTCCTCACTTAACTCACGAGATTACAAAATCCCTTGATTTTATGCCATCTGTCATTAAACCAAAAAGAAGGAAATAACGTTTGATATCGCTGTTTGATGTCATGCACTTCTGGAATGATCCGTGCTGGCCCAGATGGAAACTGCCGATAGCGTGACAACCCAGCCCAAATCCAAAATAATAATCCTGTTTTAATATTTGGGGATTCTAATTTTATCTTTTTACTCAGAATGATGTCCCACATGTTTAAATGGAAGGGGCTGGGTTTAAAGCCTTACTGGAACCTGCCACTGGGGGTGTCTGCTTCTTTTTAGCTTCAGCTTCCAGGTAACGCTCCTCTGTGTGATTCATAAACATGTAGACGGTGTCAGCAGGCAGCAGCCATGTTGGCTGGAGGTGGGTGGGAAGGAATCCAGGGCAGTCAGAAAATAACATTAAAAATAGAAAGACTTCCTGGAGTAGGTTAACAACGATCTGAAGTGTAGATATAAGCAGGAAGTCACTAAAACCAGAGCGTTTAGCCTGATGAAGGATGGACTGAAGCAGGTGTGATGATCAACAACAGGTTCAGGTGCAGACATGACAGAACGTTTAAACCATTCAGATCTGATTGTACTGCCTATCATCACCTTCCAGGTGAAATGAAACATCCTCTGTTTGTCTTTGTGTCTCTCAGAGGGAGAAGAAGAGAGTTTTGTTTCTGTACAACCTGCAGCTCCACAAACGGATTTCCTTTCCTCACAGGAAGAAAATCATCAGTCGAGGGCCAAAGACGGTGAGCGTTTTTTCTGCTCAGTTGTAAATAGGTCTGTTCTTCCCCTCCAAGCCCTTCACGGAGGTCTCGTAAACCATAGTTCAGCGATCACAGATGAATATAAACATGGACGTTGACTCGTTCTGTAAACTCAGTAGTTTGGAAGCTCGGTCAGATTTTCAAACATCTGACTCATTGTAATCCTGGAGGACAACCAGGCTTCAGATGTTTCATCTGAAAAGTTACATCTCCAGAAAGATCAATCACAAGAGAAGATGAGATGCTTTCTACCCAGAATCGTTTTTAAATCTATCTTCTATGAACTCATTATGTTCATTAATGGAGGAACTAAAATTAAAAAATTGTCCTGCTGGATTTAAATCCTGTTTTCTGTCTGCAGGTGTTCCAACGCCTGAACAGGTGGGGGCGTGGCCTCTTTCATCATCCCAAACAGGAAGCGTCTGACTTTGAGGTGACGCATTACGCCGACAGTTAGAAACAGAAAGAAGAGTCTGCCGACAAACCAAACGGGAGGATGTTCTGCTCCTCTCCTCTCAGTGTCTGAAATAAAACATCACTGATGCAATGTTTGGTCCTCAGTCTAGCATCAGAAGCCCTAACGCTTCTTTTTTGTAGGGTTCAACAAAAACGTCACAATAAAGCAGGTTAATGGTTAAAAAAGATAACTCATTAACATTTGTAGTAACTACAGTGCATTTCCTAAGCCTTAGAGATCGTTTCGTAATTATAAAAATGATTTTCCAGACAGAGAAGGTCTTACTGATGTGTCTGCAGCTTTGTAAGTCAGAGTTCAGGGTTTAAAACCTCTTTAGGTTTGGAGATAGATCTTGAAGCTGAGTTAGAAATGCTCTGTGCCAAAAGAGATGGAAGTTTAGAAAGCTTCAGCGCTTTGTGTTAAAGTCTGATGATCTTCATTAGTTTGTTTCTGGATCCTTCTGCAGCATAAAACAGTGTGTAAAGGTTCAAAACATAAATTTTAAAGCAGGTTAATCAGCTCAAACTGATCCACTCTGCAGAAAAAACCAAGTGGTGCTCGCTGCAGAACCACAAAGGCGGAGCTGCACCAGAAGGTGGAGCTGCACCAGAGTCAGACCCGCCCATTCCAGAATCAGCCCCGCCCATTCTATCAGAGTCAGTCCAATTCCTTCCAGTTGTCAGGCTTTATAGCATTCTGGAACCAAAGAGGGTGTTATGGCTAAAAAATGCAAGATTGAGGACGGAGTTGAGAAGTGAATTGAACAGTTTTTGTAAAGGTTCCATATAATTAAAAATCTAACTTTTGGAACTTTTAATCATGTTATATTGTCATTTCCTCATAAGAAACACGCCAAAGCCATTTTTGGCCTCATTCATGCATTTTCTTCCCATCTCAGCTTCAATTTGGTCTCCTCCCCCGAAGCGGGTCTGGTTTTGGTTCTCAAATCTGGATATTCTGTGAATTTTCTGACAAATTATTTCTGAAATGACTTCTACTGAGACACCGCCAATAAACCATACATCCCATCTCCAAAGACACACTAAATAGCATAATAAAATGTAACGCCACCTAGTTATGTCAGATATGGTGGTGTAGTGGTGATGGTGTCAGGTTGACATGCAGTTTTGCGCTGGTTCGCCTCCCAGCAGTGGAAATATCCTATAATCTCTTTTCCTCATTTCTAGCTACACTTGCCAGTACTATGTTTACAACAATTTATTGGTATGCCGTTTAACATATAATGACTAATGTGTTTTTTTTATTTATTCATTCGTTTATTTAGCCAGTGTGAGTCCATCTGTGAGCAGAGTTTCAACTAAAATGCTGTTTAGGAACGACCAAATTCAAAGAACTTGTAGAGACATAAATATTTTGCTGAAAATGAACATTACAACTAAAATATGAACAAATTCAATGTTTCAGCTGGCTAAATATATTGTTGCCGACCCCACCGAGAATCGAACCAGCATCAGCTGAGGGGAAAGCGAAACTTAACTCAAACGATCTTGCCACTGGACTAACAGAACCCACATGGTGGTGGTACATGCTGTTGTACAGGACTTTTATTAGAGCGGCTGTGGGCAGATATTCGCTAAGAGAAACTTTTTTATTTCGGGATATATTCAGACTTTGTCATGTAGCAAGTTATATTTATCTTGTTTAATTGGAGCATAGAACATAGCATTAACGACTGTAAACTAGTAACAGCCGTAATTCATGTGGGTCAGGTCAGTTTGCGATAAAGTTGAAAACAAAAACGGAAGTCAGTGGGCTAGGCTGAGTTTGCGTGAATGGGCGGGGCTGACTCTGGTGCAGCTCCACCTTATGGTGCAGCTCCGCCTTTGTAGTTCTGCAGCGAGCACCCTCTCGAAAAAACAGAGGCTTACATTCAGCTGTGTGTGTGTGTGTGTGTGTGTGTGTGTGTGCGCGCGCGCGTGTGTGTGTGTGTGTAAGAGAGAGTGATATCACATGATCTGATTATCTCCGTATGTACAGATGAGTTACGTAACGGCTGATCTACAGCAGCACGTGCAGCGTTAGCTTCATTCAAGGTTTCAGTGTGATCCAACAAACTGACCCTGGATCAGTTTCCTCCCCTGAGTGAAGCCTCTAAACCACCCTGGCCTCACCAGCGCGATAATCCTCCTGAAGGCACCAATTATTCTGCTGTCAGCCTGCCGAGTGGATCACAGCTCTAGCACCTTAAATCTGATTCAGACCCACAATAACTGGTCATTCATCTCGGATTTGGGCCAGCTAGAACATCTGGTTTCAGTCCAGCTGTTTTTATCTGGTTCAATGGACTCAAACCTGAGGCTCTGACCCAACACACACATAATAAAAAATAATTAAATATAAACTCAACACAATGTTTGGAAAAAGTTATTTCTCCACTGCATCAACACAAAATGTTGTAAAGCCTGATCAGTCCTCTTTACTCCCAGGTAGAACCGGATGGGACATCTGTGGAATGAGAGACAGCTAAAGTTGTTGGTAGTGCACCTCAAAAATGTCCCACAATGTCTTCTATTAGCCTTCTGTTGGTATTACTCTTGTTCTGAGCTGAGACTGAGCTTCAGGGATGATGGTAGCAGAGGAGTGCCCGTCTCAACTGGAGGATTGTAGGATCGGATCCCACTCAGTCTGTCATCTTGGGGGTTTGTAGAACCCTAGAAGATGCTATACAAATACAGACCATTTATCATTTTGTTATACCATTCAGGTTCTGTCAGGTGTGTTCCAGCCACAGGTGAATGACTACCACCTGATTGGCTCCTAGACACACACAACACATTCAAAAATTCCTGATTTAGGCATAGGGAGCCTAAGACTCCTCCCCTTTCGGTCGGCTCATGCGTCCCCGAAACAAGTGAACAGGCTAAAGGCTATTTTCTGGTTTGCTTTGCCTTACGCCCTGAATCACACGTATGTTGTACTTCAATTTAAATGAAAAGTAACGATGTGTGTTTCAGCTATGGCTGCCACATCATTTGTGATTTATTAGTTAGAAAAAATTCATACTACATTGATATCAGGCGTTGCATCTACAAGTGTTGGTCAAAAAATTAGAATATCATGACAAAGTGAATTTATTTCAGTAATTTTATTCAAAAGTGAGTCATGCAGACTGATATACGCTCACAGGCCACTTTATTCGGTACACCTTGCTAGTACCGGGTTGGACCCCCTTTTGCCTTCAGAACTGCCGTAACCCTTCGTGACATATATTCGACAAGGTACTGGAAACATTCCTCAGAGACTTTGGTCCATATTGACATGATAGCATCACGCAGTTGCTGCAGATTTGTCGGCTGCACATCCATGATGCAAATCTGCCACTCCACCACATCCCAAAGGTGCTCTATTGGACTGAGACCTGGTGACTGTGGAGGCCATTTGAGTACAGTAAACTCATTGTCATGTTCAAGAAACCAGCCTGAGATGATTCAAGCTTTATGATATGGAGCATTATCCAGCTGGAAGTAGCCATCAGAAGATGGGTACACTGTGGTCATAAAGAGAATGACATAGTCAGCACCAAAACTCTGTGGCGTTGTTTGCCCCAAACAGACATTCTGACTCTTCTTTAATTGACTGTGGGTAATTTATTGGCCAGCTGAGTGCTTCAGTGACTAATCTTGGTGTTTAACTAGATAGCGCCCTTTGTTTTGACACCCACATTAATGGAGTGATCTCCTCCTCCTTTTTCCACCTTCGTTAGCTGTCAAAGATCAAACCTTTCCTTGTACGACATGATCTTGAGATGGTAGTCCATGCTTTTACTACGGTGGGATTGGACTACTGTAACTCTGTTTTATTTGGTGTGAGCAAGGGCTCAATAGCGAGGTTGCAAATGGTGCAGAATGCTGCTGCCAGATTTCTCGAGGGCAGGCGCAAGTATGACCACATTACCCCTGTCCTGGCTGCGCTTCGTTGGCTGCCCGTTGATGTAAGGATTCGTTTTAAGATACTTTTGCTGGTTTTTAAAACGTTAAATGGTTTGGCCCCTCCTTACTTGGTGCCATTGCTTCAACCACACACCCCTGTACGGTCACTCTGCTTGGAGAACCTCATGCTCCTCTCGGTCCCAAGATCGCGCCTAAAGACGTGTGGTGATAGGGCCTTTGCTGTGGCAGGTCCTAAGCTTTAGAACGAGCTTCCTCTCAGCATAAGGGCCTCCACCTCTGTGGCGGTTTTTAAGGCAAGGCTAAAAACCTACTTTTATGATCTGTCTCTTAATCTTTCTAACTAGTTTTTATTGTTTTACTTAAATTGATCCATGTATTCACTGTGTTTTTTTTTATCTGTATCCAAAGTTTTTATTTTCTGGACCTAATGTTTTATGTTTTTATTTGGTCTGTGTAGCGCCTTGGTGGCATGTTTTTGCCTGTAAGGCGCAATTTATAAATAAAGTTGAAGTTGAGATGATCAATAACTACCAATGTGCCCAAAGTGTGCCACAAAAATGTCCCCACACCATATAAACCACCACCAGCAGCCTGAAATGTTGATACAAGGCAGGATGGATCCATGCTTTCGTGTTGTTGATGCCAACTTCTGACCCTACCTTCTGGATGTCGCAGCAGAAATAGAGATTCATCAGAGCAGGCAACCTCTAATTCCATGCTGTAGTTCTTTTTTAAAACACAGAGCAGTTTTGTTTGCCTGTTTTCCCGCTACGTTTCCTTTGCGGCTGCAAACTTCCTCAGGCTGACGCTGATGGTGGCGTCACTTCCTTCTCCGTTTATACGCCATGGTGACGCCACCATCAGTGTCAGCCTGAGGAAGTTTGCAGCCGCAAACGAAATGTAGCGGGAAAACAGGTAAACAAAACTTCTCTGTGTTTTAAAAAAGAACTACAGCATGGAATTAGAGATACGACACAGCAAGAACACACCTAAGAAGACCAGGCAACCTTTTTTTCAGTCCTCTATTGTCCAATTTTGGTGAGGCTGTGTGAATTGTAGCCTCAGTTTCCTGTTTTTGGCTGACAGGAGAGGTACTCAGTGTGGCCTTCTGCTGCTGTAGACCAGTGGTTCCCAAACTTATTTAGCCGCGCACCCCCTTCTATGTCCCGACCATGTCGA